CCTTGACAACTTACATTTGGTACTGCACTCAAGAATATATGAATGAATGAATGAATGAATGAATGTGAGTGTGCTTGAGAATTACCATATCGAAGTGCTGAACGATTGTGCACCCACCTTCATTACACACAGTGGACATTGGGAAATGCATGTAGCCTTGGATGATTGAGATATTCGACAACTAGGGATGAAAAAGTCGGTTGGTCTGCTAAGATTAGGGTGTGGCCAAGCTTGTGCTCCCCCAGTTGAAGCTGTAGAAACCATTTTGAATAAAATTATGGGTGAGGCTGGATTTGGGACACAGTTCCAGGGTCAGAGTTCCAGCAAGAGAGTTCAGCACAGTTCCAAGAGGCAAATGGTTCCAAGAGCTATCTAGGGGAACTTGTGTCCTCTTAGTTCAGGACCACTCTCAAAAAGCAAATTTGTGAGTTAGGCTGTTGTTCAAGTGATCATAGTGTCTGCATAGTAACTCCAGCAGATTATCTCAGTTCTGGCCCCACCATCCCATCTACCCAACTGCAGGGTAGGACTTTCTACAAATGCAGGTCAGTTCTAATTCAAAGATGAAGTAGAGTTGGACCTCAGGGCATCTGAAAACACAGTCTATAGAACCGTGTGCTTTTGAAGTTGGAGCTGTGGACACCATACTTGCAGTGATAAACTTTTCTTAGGACAAACTAAACATGACCCATCTAACCTCTACCACAGTGAAACATTTCAAGGGGAAATGAGCTAGTGTCAGCCCTCAGTATTTGCAAAATCAAAATAAGAAAACCTGAGTTTTTTAAACACTGAATATAATTTCATAATTTGATATGATTTCTCTAGGCCTATTTTTAAAAATTCAAGCTAGACTCTTCATTTGAACACTCCCATTGTCTTCTTCCAAACTCATTAGCAACTTTAATTTGGCTTATTCCGGGTAGTATATAGAAAACTTCAGTTTGGCTTATTTTGACTGTCACTGGCTCACCAGGTGGTAGAGATGGTTTAGTGGTTAAGAGCACTGGCTGCACTTGCAAAGAGCCAAGTTCAGTTCCCAGCACCCACACAGTGGCTAGCAGCCTTCCTTAACTCCAGTTCCAGGAAATCCAATGCCCTCTTCTGACCTCTGTGGGTATTATGTGACATGGGTGCACTTTCATACTTGCAGCCAAAACACACACATAAAAATGTTTTGACATATACATTTGTGTACAATGGTAGACATCTCAATTTTCTGATGAAAAGGTGTGACCATTTCATCTTAAGTGTGGTGGTTTTCACTGGAATAATTATAAACTTCACAAGTAGAAGACTGGTCTGTGAGTTGCAACTCCTCCCTCAAGATGCAGGTGGCCTTGAGACACATAGAAGGGGAAGGAGGTATTGTACCAAATTATGAAAAAGTGTCTCCTCACTGCACTTTAGGGTTCCAATATTCATTGGGTGATAGTTGTATTATTAAAGTCATTTCTCCCAGCTAGTGACTTTTATCTCGGTCAAGTAGTCTCAGAAACTTGATGACTCCTTTGAGCCACTCTGAAGCAAACAGCAAAGATTTTGGTCAAGAGAGATAGAATGTGGAATATAATATCTCATTATGGAATCAACTGCACAGTAGCACAGTGAAGACTCCAGATGCAAAGGAAATTAACTTTACTTGAAATGCAGTTTATCTTGTTTTCTTTATTAATGATAAAATCTTTTTGTGAGTCTGTAACCATCTGGGGGAATATACTTAGCAAGATAAGAACAGTCTGTAAGACATTCTGTGATCATTTTGCTTCCTGTCCTGGGTTGCTCTGACTTGTGTACAATCACTGCTTCTATTCTCAGCTTGGAAACTTTTCTCCCTGCCTTCCTCTGAGTCAAAGACTTGAAGGATGTCTCAAATGAATACTTGCCTGGCACTCAGTGGATCAGATCAAGGTCAAGGTTCCTCCCTGCTAAGAAAAGTACTTCTTTGATAGTCTTCCCTTTGTAGCAAATATAATCTTATCCAAAATGAAATTAATTTCTCCAACCCACAAGCAAAATTTGAAACCATGCAAAGTAATCTTAATTTTTTTTGCCATTACCATCATATTCCTAGTGGATTGCCTTTGAAAATTTAAAACTACTTTTAATTTTGTATTTCTTTTGACTAACTTGCTTTTTTATATGAGGAGGGGAATTTCAGTCATTTTCAAAGCATGTTTTCTCTTCTCCAGGCTCTTCTTAATCTCAGCTAATTCTGCAATACCCACGCTGTTTCCACAGCCCTAAGGATACCATTAGTTTGATCCAGCAGACCAGTTCCACTCCTTTCTCCATATTGCAAGATGAAGCCTTCCGTAGCAGTCACTGATATTTTCATTTTTTGTTTTTTGAACAGCTTTTTTTTTTTGAAATGCAACAGGATACACTGTTCATGACTACATTCAATTCCATGTATATATAGGTACATATGGAGTTAGGTCCAGTTCCCTTTTCTAAGGAATAAAACTCCCAAATGTCTCAGCTTTGTGTGCAAGGAGTCCCACTATAAAGTCTTATTCGATCTTAGTTCCCATGACAGTGAAATCAGACCTACCACATGAATCAAGTGAGCAAAAGATACTGTTCCACAAACACATCTGTAGCATCCAGTTGGATGCTATTTGTTCTGTACCTGACATACCCACATGATTTCTGTTTTTCATGAACCCCAGCCCATCCCACCTTCCAGTGAAGACTTGCCATCTGGATTACTGTGACTTGATGTTTCTCTCTATCTGCAACAATGGTGATTGCCACCTCCCCTTCTGCGTTCTGATCCTGTAGAAGCACATCACTGGGGGTGGGCTCTGAGCTCTAATAGCCTCACCCCACTTGGTGTTCATCTCTTCTTCATGTGTGCAGTAGAGATGTTCCACCTCAGCTGCTTCTTTCTGGTGCCTGCTGCCAGGCCTTTCAGCCATATGAACGCTCTCTCTGGAAACAGAAACCAAAAAACTTTCTTCTGTAAGTTGCTTTTGGTCATGATTTTATCATAGCAACCAAAAAGTAACTAATACAGCCTTGCCACATTTGTTTTACATCCTCAAAAGTGTGGTAACTATCACAGTTCTTTCTCTGGCAAAGGTGACCAACAAACACTTGCTGTATGGATGAAAAATATACAGTAACTCACTTTGACCTCCATTTAACAGTAAATGAAATCCCCAGTATGTTTGTGGATATATGTTTAAATTTTTAATGTTTGTTTCACATTTTATTTTGTGTGTGGAGGTGTGGATGAGCATTTGCTATCACACACGTGTGGAAGTCAGAGAATAACTTTCTGGAGTTGGCTCAAGATATTTGCCATGTGATGGGACTGGAGAAAGGCTCAGCAGCTAAGAGCACTGGCTGTTCTTGCAGAAAACCCAAGATTGAATCCTAGCACCCACATGATGGCTAACAACCATCCATAACTACAGTTCCAGGGGATCCATCACCCTTTCATATCCTTCGTGGGCACTGCACAACACGGGTGCACTTACACACATGCAGATATTTCATTCAAACACATAAAATAAAAATAAAATTTAAAAAAGAGACGCATCATGTGGGCTCTGCGAATCAAACACAGGTTTTCAGGCTTGGTGGCAGGTGTCTTTACCAGCTGAGCCATCTTGCCAGCTCAAAGATGTAGCTTTTAGTGATGGTCCTGTCACCAATTTTTTGTACAAACCTTTTGCTACCTGTGAATGGGGCAATGTGACCATATAATTTACGCCTTTCTTTCCAATACAGTCTTTGGAGGAGGTACAGAGAATGTTTATGTTCATATATAACCTTGGATATGGTGAAATTTCACTTGCTATTCAGCCTGAAGGTCATCGCTGTAGATGAATGCTTGGGAAGATTCGGTGTGACTCCAGAGGCACTTGTGGAACCTGGAGATAACTCTGTCCTGGAAACCTTAGTGACACCATGTGGCCCACCAGGTTTGGATCACACTTTAGGTAGCTTGATGTATAAACTTCTGGGAGGAACCTTAGACTCTTTTGAATATTTTCTCCTGAGGGGTCTTGTTGTGGGTGCCTATTTGACTGGTACCCACAGTGCCTTCCATGAGATGAGCTGAAGACAGTGATCTGAAATACTTTTTGTGTGAACTCTCTCCAGCCCTATATGAGCAAAGGTTTATATTTCACAGGAGAGTTTGATATATTTATATTACCAGAAAGGTACAAGATGAAAAGCTTTTGGTGTAGTTACTTGTTTTTCTTGAAATCCTGTGGTGGAATATTTGAGGTAGAATATTAAATTTTCTTTCTAAACACAAAAATGAGAATCAAGTACATTTGAAACTATAATGATGATTTTTTTTTTGTATTTTCACAAACCTAAAGGCCTTCTGAAATCATGGTTTTGCTGGAATATTCCTGGTATTGTTCTAGCAATGTTATGATGTTCAGCAGCCCAAGGTCCAGCTGATTATTTATTTTCTCTGGTCCTCAGGCCTCACTTTACAATCCACTGGGAAATCATGGGTAGTTGTGGGAAAAACAGGAAAAATGAACACACTCTGGTTTCCATCCCTCAGTCACCCACTCCTTCTTGCCCATCGCCCATTGCCCATTGTCATTTTACAGAACAGTGCCACAAACACATTAAAATAAACAACTGGATTTGTTTTCAAAATATTCCCAAGATCAGAAAAAAAGTAATTCCCAAGTCTGTAGTAAGCTATTTCACTGCTGATTTTCAAAGAGTATTTCAGAAGCAGAAATCCACAGGCAATTGTCATTGGGCTGCCATAGTAGACAAATTCAAGTGACTGTGACATTGTGCCACTAGGGGAAATGGGACATGGCTGATAATACCTGTGAAGACGTGACTCAGAGGGAGTAAGCGTAGAGCTGAATTTTGACCCTGTAAAATGAAGGCCAGCCAGAACGGGACCGCAGTCAGCAGGGAAAGACAGGGAGGGTGTTCGGTTTTCATCATTAGGAAACCGGCATCCACACGACTTTGCTCTTATACCATAAGCTTTATTAAGAGTGACTCCAGTGCTCACTTTGGTAGCACACATACTAAAAATAGAGCAATACAGAGATGATTAGCATGGTCCCTATGTAAAGATGACACAGATTTGTGAAGCTTTCCACATTTTGTTCACAAAGAGGAAAAAATGGAGGAGTGATTTCTCTTCATTGCAGTTTTCTGCTTGGTGCTACAAACCCTTGTGTATATGATAATACACCCTTGTGCGTAATGATCACATACTTCTGCGTTAGGATCAAGGCTCAGGGCTTGTCTTCCAGCTTCTTGGGGAATTTCTCATTCCTATTAGGGGACACTCAACAAATGACCATTTTTATTTTCATTATTAGTGCTATAGAGCATTTTGCAAACCACACAATAATTCTCATTAACAACCCCACAGTCTAGAGAGTTCCTGTCATTATGATAGAAACACAGGAATGCAGCTCTGATCTCTTCTGGAGGAATGTGAGATTTGTATGATTTTTTTCCAAAATGGACTAAAGTGAGATTCTTTGTACATTAAGTGAGAACTACTCCAGTAGTCATGGGGCACTGACAACAGTGAGCTGGGAAATGAGTGTCATATACCTTCAGAAGACTACATCATAGAGCCTTAGAGTTTTGCTTCCAAGAACGGTAGCAGGAAGCAGATGTCAGAAAGGTCTTGGCCCACACTTTCTTTTCGGTAAGCATTGGTCACCCTCTGACACCTCAAGGGAGAATGCTGGGCAAACACCACAGAGGCTAAGATGCCTGCTCCCTTACTCACTGGAGCTCTGTCTTAGTGTTTAGAACCAAAAACAACAGCAACATACCAATAAACCACACATACTGATTTCACTGGAGCCAAGGCTGGGATGATTCTCCACGTTCCATCACTAAGAATACTCCCTTCTGTGCCCAGCAGCCATCCAAGTGTTGGCTGGTCTGTTGTTAGGAAGTTAGAGAGTTTGCAGATGGCTTGTGGGATGTCATCCAATTAAAGCATGCACTTAATTTTGGCTAATACTCTGAGGGTTTTTTTTTTAACTTTTTAACATCAAGATATTTTTCTTCTGCTTTTTGGTATTTGCATTGCATAATAAAATGGATTTTATTTCTATAAGAACCTCTTAGAAAATTTAGCTGATGACCTCAAATGAGCTCATGGGGTGACCTTATTCACAGTAGCTACCTACCCTCAATGCTTAACACTAAGATGTAAGCCTAAGACACCAGTACAGGGTAAACTCAACAGAAGTCTATTAATCAAACTCTGGATCTTAAGTAATTTAAGGGAAGCTCATAAGCTCTTGGCAAAGGAAAGTAAAACTATTCAGCCCTCTTTCCAACTTATCCCATAGAGGAAGTGCTCTTCTTCAGAAATGTCAGTTCCTTGTTAACCCTCACCCAGTAGCATTTTGAGAGCCATAAATATTTACTGAAAACCATGGCTACCTCCTAGACTAACATTCCATAAATGCAAAGATAAATTTATCTTCTACACTAATATGGGCACCTACCTTCTGAATTACTGTGAGAACTTTAGCACCAGAAATTTCTAAAAGTTCTGTATTGAAATGAGGAAAGGAATATAATGTCCAGAAATTAAGATAATGCTCATCTTTCCTGTATCAAGAAGGTTTTTGGATTGCCTGGATAAAGCAACTATTTTGATAATTAGATTTTGAGTGGAAAATAAAATAACTCAAAGAAAAATAGACTACTTTCAGTTTGCTATGCTACAAAACCAATATATTGTGCTTACTGTTAGTAATATAAAATTTCATATTGAGCTTCCTAAAGTCAAGAAAAAAAGAGCAACACAAGCTATTCTGTGCCCCTATCTAGGCTAATTTTAACTCGATGATTTGTCAGGAGAAGAAATTATTTCCCATGCTGAATTATATTTTTAAGTTATAGCAACATGGCATCACTTGGAAATAGAATACAAAGTCATTTCAAGCACTATTTTGTTTTTGATTATCTAAAAATATAACTCTATTCTATAAAAATCTTAAGAAATTTCTTGAAATAAGATGGAATTCTCCTAAACAGCTTGATCTTTACATGTGCTAGAATGCAATTTACAGTATTGGTTCAATTCAGTAACTCCAACAAACTATTAAATTTTATTTCAAAATTTATGCTTTCTCAAGAATATCTCTTTAATATGTTGTTCAGTATTTCTTTGAAGTATATATTTATCTGTTTGGTTTGGAAAGGGAAACTGACTGAGGTTAATAATTTGAAATATATTTGGAGAGTATCAAATGATGAAATATTTATAAAAATATCTTGGGCCACTCTATGTCTCTTAGGTTTATAAAAATGAAAAATTGTTGGGGTTGGGAGATGGTTTGCCATGGAAGCATGAGTTTGATTCCCAGCATCCATGTAAAAGCTGGATATGTGATGTCCTTATGCATATCCAGTCCTGGATAGGCAGAGACCAAGGTCTCACTGGCCAGTCAGCACAGCCAATTTTTGAGCTCTATATTCAGTGGGAAACCTCTCTCAAAAAGTAAGGTGGAGCCTAGCTTAGTGGAGTGCACTTTTAATCCCAGCCCTCAGGAGGCAGAGACAGGCAGATCTCTGTGAGATCAAGACCAGCCTGGTCCACATAGTGCCTTCCAGGTAGACTGGGACAAGGAAGATCCTTGACCTCTGACCTCCACTCACCTGTAAATATACATATGCAAACATACTTGCAATTTTTCCAAGAGTATGTCTGTACTTTCTCCCTTTTGTAGTATGTGGTTGTTGAGTTGAAAAATGTTGTTATAACTAGGGTGGATAAAAGGGGAGGGAAGATAAAGGAAGGGAAGGCAAGAAAGGGAAAAGAAAGGGATAAGGTACTTCATCTCTGCTGACCTATTTCGTTTTGCAAAGTAAAAGCCTCAAGTGTCCTGGGTTACTGCAGTGCCCTCCTGCCTACACAAAATCTGTTTCCCACACCACTGTCTCAGTTACCATGTAAAAGTGTGTGTCAGATATTGTTACATTCCTCCTTAAATTTCTTTAATAGTTTCCTCTTGCACTTAGAATGACATCCAAACTACCATAGCCACCAAGTGATCTGGCCTGCAGTTACTCTGTCTCCCTCCTTCTATTGTCTGCTTTTAAAATACACCACAGCCTTTCACACTTCAGGATCATTTCACTTCCCTGTCTTTTGCCTGAGATGGTCTTTCTCTTTGCACTCATGACTGGATCCCCTACTGTCAGACTCAGCTCTAAAATTGCATTACAAGGAGAGCTTCCTCCAGTAATGTGTTTACAGGAGTCCTCCTCCAGCCTAAGATACTAGTGCTGACAGATGTGGTTATTTATGCCTTCAAAGCACTTAATCAAATCACAAATTGTATTCATTATCATTTGAAGTTTATCTCCTCCACTGTGAAGAGAGACATCCAGGTAGCAGGGTTTTCCTCAGTTTTGGCCATGTGGATATACTCATCAACTCTCACTGAGTCTGGAGTAGAGATGTACAAATGAACATTTGCCAAATAAGTGAATGGATGAAGTAAAGAATTTGTCACTGGATTACTGGACTTTATGTGTGTTTTCTTAGATAGCTGGCTGACAAAGTACAGAATGTATGGAAGTTCAGTCTATCTGGGAATGTTTGCTTAAGGGGAGACGAGTGCAATTAGACTATAAAGACTGGAACAAAGTCCTAGGAGTGTCTTCTTCCTTTCCATTTTAAAATCTATTATTTTTCTTTTGGTACTGTGGGATTGAACCCAAGACCTTATGCCCTCATGTTTTCTAAGCACACACTACCACTTGGATACATGTCTGGCTCTAATACTGAAGTTCTTGAATGTCACAGTGCATTATAGGAAATCTCTCTGTGGCTGGTAGATAGCTCCTAAAGCTTCTTCAGTATTCAGTGTATGATTTGCAAAGCCTCATTCATGTTAGACTGTGGAAGATGATCATTTACATTCACTCACCAGCCCATAGTAGTGCAATTTCTACATGTTTGCAAGGTGTTGATTTAGGTGATGTTCATTTCTTTCTCCGCTCAGCATGAGAGCCCCGTACAGTCTTCCTTCTAGGCTGGCAGGGGTTAACGTTCACTTTTCATGCTCTGAATGAAGTGAGCCAGCACTTCTGGAAGGGGATTTCTTCACAGCACTTGTCTCAGTGGGAAGTCATGTCTCTTAAAAGTGTGATATCCTCAAAAACTCAGCATAGAGCTGGGGAAATGCTCAGCAAGCTCCAACATAGGAAATATTGGCAGAAATACTGCTGGGTGAGGGAGAGTTGATCTTCTTTAAGGGAGGGACTCCCTTAAAGACAGACTACACTCCAGTGGGTGAACTTGCACTGAGGGACATCTGGGTACAAAAACTTGACCAGACAGGTCTTAATATATATGACAGAATGCATGAAATCCAGTGGGAGGATCCATGGGGGTGCAGATGGGAGAGGGGAATATAGATATGATTAAGATTTGTTGTATGAAATGCACAAAAACTCAATAAAAATATTCATTTAAAAAGTGTGACATCCTCTTGTCACATCATTCCACTTTCCTTTATCATTCTTTTTCTTTAATAATTTGTTTTTCTAGTCTATATTGTTACCTCACACTATAGACTAGTGTGGAATTTTTTTATTTTAACTCTGTCTTAAAGGAAATCCCATGTGGAGTCTGAAATATAGTTTGCTTTTGGTTTGTGTCAATGGAGTAATGGAGATCTTCTTCTTTAGCTAAAATCTAGTACTTATAAGAACTTGTAACAATCTCTACCCAGTAAAATGGTACTGGGTATAGCATATACTTGGTCACTTGGATTTTTCTCACTATGTCAGATTCAGCCTGTAACATGAAGTACAAATACACAAAGCATATTCACAGTTAAGATACTGGTCGATTTTATAGATTCTAGAAGACAATTTTAGAATCATTTACTAGTTTATAGAAAGGTAAAAGCCAGGACCAGTGTTTGGCTTATGGTTCAATGTGAAGTCATTATGTGGACAAGATGGTTTGTTCTGTAGTGGGCTATAAAGAAGGAAGGCACCAAAAAAGCACAAAGCCAGTGTGGCCAAACTTAAGAAAAGGAGCTCAGTGATCAGTATCAACTCACCCTTTTCAAAACTCACCGAGTCATGCTCATCTGTAATCATCAGCACTAGGGACCTTCAACATGTCCTCATTGAATCCTCATCCTTATCTATGATGACCATGTGAGTTATACTCATATGCATTATATTTCTTGGTTTATTTCTTAAAATAATATATTTTCTTTCTATCAATATCATGTATATGCAAAGTGAGTGGAGAATACAAAAATAGTAAGTTATTGGCTCCTTTCCACAGAAAGCTGTTCAGGGAATGCAGATGTACTCAGCACAGGGGAGCATATGATAAGTCCCAGGACAGAAATAAGAGTAAGATGATATCGTGGTGCCTTAGCATAGCAGAAGGTTTAAGAAAGCATTTCAAAACAGGTTTCAAATTGCCTTATAAGACATGTCACACATTTTAAAAAGACACATGGACAAATACTCTGTGAATCAGTGGAACAGCCTGAGCCAAGGATTAAGGTTGAGAAATAAAGAACATAAATATCAAACTGTGTCCATCAACTTTAGTAACTTGAGCTATAGATTCAGTAAAACAGGTCTAACCTGTTTTACTCATTACTTATAATTTGGCTATTAACCAGACAGTTTCTATGGATCACAAGCACTTACGGTATCCTTATAAATGATGTGTTCATGGGAGCTATTCATTCTACTTTTCATTAATGGGAGCAAACCAGCATCCTCAAGACTGATAGGTCATTTATAAATTGTGTAATTTTTCTGATGCATATTCATATCACACAGTTGTATAACCCATATCCTACTTAGTCAATTGTGGTGACCAGTTTTTAAATGAGCATAGTCTTTCTTTAGTCGATGACTGAAGCACAAATGTTTAAATGACTTTCCACAATCACTTGACCAATAAATGTGGATTTGTGCACAATTTAGAACCCACCCAATTTTTTGTACCTGCATAATTGTCACCACATGAATGCTCAAATAATTCATATTTCTATATACTGTTGATTGGGAAATTGAGAAATTTGTAATTGAACAAGAAAGCACATTCAAAAGTCAATCACATGGACAACAAAAGCATGTCTGGGTGTACATGATAAGGAACAAGGGAAAATGATAGGAAGACCTAATTTTAGGGAAGACTCAATAGGAAGAAGGTCCATAGTTAATAATATGAAAATGAAGCATGGATAGTAAAAATGTTACTGTTGTTAGACAAAGTTAAGGATACCAGGTCATCAATTAAGGCGGTATGTGTTTTCTGTGGCCAGTTCTTTGTGTCTCTCCACAATGCGGTGTTAGGGACTTGTGAACTCACCTTTCCTTTAAATGTTTTCATTACTGAATATATACTTTGTCTGAATAAGATCCAGATGATCTTATGATATTCTATGATTTCATATTCATTCATCCAATAGCAATTTATTTCAATTTCTTCATACTTTTTTTCATAGTTTATTTTAATTGGGGGCCATGAAAGAATGATGGAATTGTAAGACTGAAGTTAATCATCATTGGCTTCTCAATTTCTAATTACCAATTTAGGTCAGACTAATTTCATCTTCATTTCTACTGCTATTTAATAGTCATTAGCTTTTGTTTTGTTTTAGCTCTTTAGCATGTCAGTTTCTGCTCCCTCTTCTAGTCACACCACATACAAGAACAAACTCGTTTCTTTCAAAATTAGGTGACTTCAACATTGCTTATTTCGTTTTTCTGTCTGGTAATCTTAATTAGGTGCACAAGCAGCTTTAGTTCCATTAATGGTTGTGGATCATAGCTCCAGGAGGAGTTTGCTGCTGTCGTTGGGTAAACCTTAGTAATTCCAGAAATTCCTTTGTCTCTGCCTTCACATTAAGGACAAGCTAGCAAACTGCACATTCTTTAAAAGAGAAAAAACTGAGTGAGTTAATGTTAACTGCAGAGAATATTCTCTTTTTTACTTTGCTGACATTATTTATTAGAACATTATCTTAAGGTTTAGTAGACGTGGAAGCTCCAAATATAGCTATTTGTAATGACACTAGAAATCAAATATTTAATTTTTCAAATAATTTCTGATCTATTAGAGTAATGAAAGAAAATTCATTTATGGATGACAGAAGGTAGGTATTTCCTAGGTGGGAGATTTTAAGGAGATTTGGTTTTATTTTAATAAAAAGATCACTTTGTTCCCACTTGTCATATGTGTTTTCTTAATTTTATTTTTATTGAATTTTTGCAATTTTCATACATTATAATTTGCTGGTGTTTGTATCTGCTCCCCTAACTGCACCTCCCCCTACCGCCCCCTGCCCAGTCACCATTTCTGTGAGTTCATATGAGTATATATATATATATTGCAGCCCATAGCATCTGATTTGTGTCCTCAAATGTCTTTCAGTGTGGGTCCATCTGCTACAGGTCCCACCAAGAATCCCATCCCTGTAAGATATTGCCTCTCCTTCTTCCAGCAGTCATCAACTGCCAACGTTCCTTAGGTGGGATTGGGATTTCTTATCTACTTCTCAGGCCTTCTCTGTTAGCTAGTAAGAACTAGTCCATTCTATTGCCATCGGTTCTCCTTGGGCCTTGGCCCCATCCCTCTGAGGCTCCTGGAGAGCCCCTGACCAGCTAGGACGAGTTACCCAAATCTTACCATGCCCATCCCTTTGCGTTGGGACCATCCTGCCAATCCTGCCCACTGCTCCAGAGCGCAAGTCTTCTCTACAAGCTAGTAACAATTTCTTCACACTTTATAGTAGATCATTCTTTGAGCTTCACCATAAAATGTTACTAATTTGAATATTTACTTTTCTGATATAAGTGGATCCTTCTGTAGGCATTTTCCATGACTCAGGCAGAACCCAAATGTTCTTACACTGAGGAAAGTTAATTCCAGTTAGCTAAAAATATCTTTCCTTTTTCCAAGGAGAATGATGCTAAGTGGCTTATGAGTGTCAGCATACTGAGTATTGAAACTATACCCTTTTGAGGGACTGGAGCCCTCATGTGCACACATACACACACACACACACACACACACACACACACACACACACAGTCAATCCATCCTTTTACATTAATGAGACTCAGAGCTTCAGCTTGGGCATATTGTCTACGCCAGACTAGTTTGCTTCATCTCCTATTCTTGACTTTCTAAAAGCCAATGAACTTACATTGTGGAGGAAAAGTTTACCCAGTTCCCCCATTTAGAGAATCTCAGATGGTTTCTGCTCTCATTTTCGACATGAACAAAAAGAAATGAAAAACTATAAAATGTGAACTGAAGAGCAATAATCTTGGCAGCTTTTTGTTTTTCTTAATCATAAGTCAAAATAAGTGTATAAATTCAGTTTTCTTGAAAACACAGGTGGTTTAGAAAAATGGGGGAAGAGAATAAACTTGGAACAAAGCTCATTTATTCCTTTTACCAGAGCTGAAATATCCATGTCTTTTCAGTTTGTTAACAGCTCTGAATTACAGTTTGAATATAATATAGTAGAAAATGATGTGTCTGTATATGCAATTAAACATGTGTATGTGTGTGTGCATGTGCGTGCATGTGCATGTGCGTGTGTGTGCATGTGCACGTGTGTGTGTGTGTGTGTGTGTGTGTGTGTGTGTGTGTTAAATTTGATCACGAATCTTGTCCTTACCACTTCTAAACTATGAGACCTTGGACTCATCTTTTTGTTTCTCTGAGCCAAAAGTAAAAAAAATTTCCTTGATTTGGTTGTTTTCTTCCATAGCTTGACCAGCTGGAAAAGGCCATGGAAGCCGCCCACACGTTCTTCATGGCCAACCCTGAGCACATGGAAATGCAGCAGAACATTGAGGACTACAAAATGACAGCAGGGGCGGAAGCACTCCAGCTGGTAGATCGAGAAGCCAAGCCACACCTGGTGAGCTCTGGAGACCCTGTCCCTGCCACATGGAGATAAGTGGACCTGTTCCATTGGCTCAGAGCTGAGTCACATAATGGACATATCAAATTGAGCCTCAATTTGCACTTTTATATTGTCAACGTTTTCAGATATGATATTGCCTTTATCAGAATTGAAAATATAGTTGATATTTTAATTTAAAATTTCAATTAAAATAATCAGTATATGTTGAAGCCTATAACATCTTAAAGATTTCTGTACCCCTTTATGAAACCTCAGCTCTTGTTCAGCCCTTTTTTAATGCCATATCTTTTTTTAGATTTTTAAAATTAAACTTACTGAGAATTTTACACATGTACATAAAGCACACTAACCACTCTCACCCCTCCCTACCATGCCTGTTAACCTCCCTCTTCCCCGTAAATCTCTTTCTCACATTCATATTTACATCTATTTGTTTTGATTTGTTTACCCCCTGAGTTTAACCAGGTCAGTCTGAGTGACTATGGGTTTGGAGTTATTCATTAGGACCTATTGAGCTCAGCAGTGGGTATACAACAGATAACAATGGTTCCCTTCTCCCAGAATCTGTCAACAGTCGCTAGTTCAGCAGCAAAGAGCTAGGCTCCACAATGCCTCCCTCTTCCATGACTGATTGTTACTCAGGCCGGTCTTGTGCAGGAAAATGCAGTTGTGAACTCATGATTGCAATGGCTGTGTCAGGTCTACAGGATGGCATTTCACAACGCTTCGCCCTGTTTTTCAACTCTTACATACTTCTTGCCCCCCTTCTGCAATGTACCCTAGCCTTAGAAAGGGTGGTATAGATGTTTTGTTTAGCACTGGGCCCTTAGCCAGCTCTAATTCTCAACATCATGGGCAGTCAAGAGTCTCAGGATTTACTACTATTCACAGTAGGGACATGTTTCTCTGATTAACTCACAGAGTGGTTTGTTTTGTTTTGTTTTCTTTCTTTTTTTTACAAAAACTTTATTGGGAATTTCATACATGCATATAAGGTGTTTTGATCAAATCTATGCCCACTCCCTTCCTTCCAACACTTCCCATATCTCCCCATCACTATTTTCTTTTTCTTTTCTTTATTTTTCTTCTTTCATTTATTTATTTTTATAGGGTTTTTGGGTACTCTAACATTACCCCCTCTGAAGATGTAACCCTAAAATCTTTTAAGGATTAGATACAAGCTCCCAAATACTTTAGACATTTTTGACCTTTGGAACAGAGTATGTTGCTAACAGTCCCAAGGACATTTTGACTTTTAGCCAAGAAACAGGCTACTTTTCTTTGGGGTCTTTTTATCCTAACTGCCTAACCAGTTCTTACCGCCTGCTCTTATCATACCATCCTCTGAAGGGGTTACCCAAATTGCCAATAGGAATAGGGACGCAGACCACTCTGGCATCTTGAACCATGCTGAACAGGGACGCAGGGTGAGGCAATTGGAGTGGGTCTATCTAAAAGACTCTCAAATTGTATAATTCTTATCTCTAAGGGGAAAAGGAAGTCCTTGAATCATGAATACGTGATGTGAAGGAGAAGTAAAGGCAAGAGTAACTAGCATTACAAGTTCTAGACAGGGAACTAGAAGACAGAACAGGGAAATTTTCAAATGTTCATATAAGAGACCATTGGAATTTCTTGAAAAGAGCTTCCAAAAGCATCCCTCTATCGGGTTCTTCCTTATTTTTCTTTTGTCTTCCAAGGCTGGGCTCTAGAGTGATGGATTCAGGATTTGCTTTCAGGTATTTTGATAGCTGTTGGAGTGGTTAGAATAAGTGTCAGTTCCCACTCAAAAGCTTTGAAATGACTGAGGGGTTGCTGAGGTGTATGACCTGAGGGTATGCACACTGTAGCCTTTACCCAGCATGGGTTATGCCTTCTCTTCTTAGCCTTCTGCAGATTGTATACTTTAGCCCTCCCCAAATCCAGCAGGCCATTTGTGATTAGGGACAAATTACATACAGTTGTCTGGGAAGAGTGGCTAGATACTTCAGTAATGGTCCAGTGACACTGTTTGGCCCTCATTTAATGAATGAGCATAACCATCAACAAGCCCAATTGTGATGATATTTAGCAATCAGGCTCAGCTGAAGTCATGATGATGGTAGCTATTTTATGCAGAAGGGACTGCTGTATAGCATCATCTTATTAAAAGCACCTGGAATTTAAAAGGATTTGGTGCTAGGACCCACATATGAGGGAGAACATACTTCATTTGTTTTGCTGAGTTACTTCACTTAGTATAACAGTTTCTAGATCCATCCATTTACCTGAAAATTTCATTATTTCATCTTTTTTTACTGCTAAATAGAACTCCATTGTGTAAACATACCTCATTTTTGTTAACCACTCGTCAGCTGAGGGACAACTAGGTTGCTTCCATCTCTTAGCTATTGTGAAAAGAGCAGAAATAAACATGGTTGTACAAGTGTCTCTACAATAGGATGAGTCCTTTGGGTATATGCCAAGGAGTGGTAAAACTGGGTCATATGGTAGGTTCATTTTTAGTTTTTTAAGAGGTCTCCACATGGTTTTCCATAGAGGTTGCACAAGTTTGCAATCCCACCAGCAGTGAATGAGTGTTCCCCTTTCTCCACATCCTCACCAGCATTTGGTATCATTTCTTCTCTTGATCCTAGTCAGTCTGATTGAAGTAAGATGATACATTAGGTGGTTTTAATTTGCATTTCCCTGAACACTAACAATGTTGAATACTTTTTGAGATGTTTCTTAGCCATCTTTATTTCATCCTTTGAGAACTCTCTGTTTAGATCTTTATCCCATCTTTTAATTGGGTCATTTGGTTTCTTGCTTCTTTGTTTTTTGAGTTCTTTATATATTCTGGATGTTAAACCATTGTCAGATGTGTCACTGGTGAAGAATTTTTCCCATTCTGTAGGTTTTCTCTTCACTTTTTTATTGTTTTTTATTTTTTGCTGTACAGAAGCTTTTTAGTTCAATGAGGTCCCACTTATTGATTGCTGACCTTAATTCCTGAGCAATCTCTGATTTAGAAAATCCTTTTGTACACCTATATCTTGTAAGTTACTGCCAATATTTTCTTCTAATAGCTTCAGGGTTTCCAGTTTCATATTGAGGCCTTTGATCCATTTGGAGTTGACTTTTGTGCAAGGTAAAAGTTAAGGATTTAGTTTCACTCTTCTACAGGTGGAGATCCAGTTTTGCCAGCACCATTTGTTGAAGATGCTGTCTTTCCCTCCATTGTGTGTTCTTGGCACCTTTGTCAAGTATCAGGTGGCTGAAATTGCATGTACTCAGGTTTGGATCTTCAGTCATATTTCATTGATCTATGTGTCTATTTTTGTGCCAGTACCATGCTGTTGTTATGACTATAGTTCTGTAGTATACTTTGAGATCTGGTATAGTAATTCCCCCAGTGTTGCTCTTTGTGCTTAGGGTTACTTTGGCTATCCAGAGTCTTTTGTACTTCCATATGAATTTAAGGATTTATTTTTCTAATTTTGTGAAGTATGTCATGGAGATTTTGATTGGGATTGCATTGAATCTACAGATTGCTTTTGGTAGGATGGTCATTTTCACAATATTAATTC